AGAAACTCAGAAGCTGATCAAATATCGGGTTAAATATCGGTGGGGTTTCCGATGTCCGATATTCAGTTTTAAGGCCGATACCGATAGGGGGCCGATTATATTGTGCATCCCTATTAGAAACAGCTTAGTTGTTTGAGTAAAAAAAAAAAAAAAAGGCTATTATTATCATCAATTTAGAGACATTAACACGAGAACCATCTGGCCTTTTTCTTTTATATATATAAAAACTACAGTTCTCCTTTGAAATGATTCTTAATCTCAAATGTCCAGAAAGAATGGTTTGAGAATAACCACATTTCTAAACCAAAGGCACAGAACTTAAAAAAAAAAAATACACAAAACTTGGAAAGTTGAGTGAAAGAAAAACAAATATTCTAAAAGAAAAGGTTGATAACCTACAGAAAAGAAAAAAATCCTCTCAGATTTTGAAGTCTAAAACTGCAGCTAAAGTAAAATTAACGAATTCCTCAAGGTATAGAGGATGCCATCCTTAACCAGAGACGACCTCAATTGACCCTTTTCAAAGCTTTAGTGATAAATAACTCTACTGTTCAAAGTCCATATTTTTAAAACTCAGGATTAAATATAATTCTGTATTTTCAAAGTCAACTGCACGTCCCACTTCAGTTTGTAAAGGAGCAGAGATTCTCCTTTTCTCCTTAAAAAAAAAATACACAAAACCAGGAAAAAGGTAATCCATTTTCTACAAAACTTATATAAATCATAACAGCCTGAATAAAAATAAATAAATAAATATGCAGATAATCTTCAAACTTGTTGCATGAGAAGAACAACAATTCCTGGAGCTTTAAAGCACAGACTGACTAATTGTCGGTTATCATTGTTCCATCAAAACAGCACAGCAATATGGCGCCGCTCCATACAGCAAGTTCCAGATAAACAGATAAGTTATATCTATAATGGCTCGGAAGAAAACAAGAAACCACATTGTATCAGTCTCCAATAGAGGGAACATAAAAACTCCAAATATTCCTACAGATGTAGGAAAGAAAGGACATGCATGTTGAAAATCTAAAGATAACCAGAGCACCACCAATGCTAAGCATTCACAATCTCTTAAGCTCTCACATTTCTGTCTCCATACAACCAGATAGCCTTAGAGTATTTTAATGAGATCTGCTAGGAAATAAAAGCAAAAAATGGTGCAACATTATAATGTCGAAGGAAAATAGTGAGAAACAAAATACTATAAAAGTCTGGCTGATTTTGAATAAAAGACAAATTATAAAAAAGGTTAGACATATTTATTTAGAGGGACTAAAAAGACATGCCAAAAACTTCCAACTTAGAGTGCAAAATTAATGAACTACTAGGAAACATAACAGAACTACAAACTCTGAATTATGGATCCATTTGTTAGCCTTCTCCATAAAAAAAAAAAAAAAGAAGTTTGTGTTTTTCTTTGAATCTATGAAAAATTCAGAGCTTTGTTCTATAGTTGGACTTCTTTTCTCTTCCACATTCTATCCATCCATCCATCCATCATCCATCCATCCATCCATTTATTTTCTGTCACACTTCATCCCTACTGGGGTCATGGGGTGCTGGTGCCAGCTGTCCAGCTGTCTAAGGGCGAGAGGAGGGGTACATCCCTGACAGGTTACCAGTCCATCGCAGGGCAACAGGCAAACAGACAATCTGGACCATTCATGCAAACATTCACAGCCTCTCCCTTCTTCCTTCCTATGAAGGTCTCACCTGGTTTGAGTATCCGTCAGGGGTACATCCTCCAAAGATGTACAGTGTGCTGTTAATATTGGAGCCACAGAAACCAAATAAGTCTGAAGGACTCTCTCCCGTGATCTCCTTACACTCCCTGTTTTTACCAAAAGGAAAAGAAAATTGAACGTTATCATTACCAAGAGCTGGTTACATGTTTAACAAAACAAATTGTATTTTCTTTTTTTAACTTTAAGGGAAACTTTTTTTTTTTTACTGATTCTGTAACAAACTCATTGAATCTGTAATTTTTCTAAATAAAAAAAACATTTCCAGTTTGCATTCCTAAGTCGAAGGTCAAGGTGACACAGCTTTCATGTTGGCAGATGAAGGGCCTTATATCTCACCACTTCCCGCTGTCCAAGTCACAGAGCCATATCTCATCACTGGGCAGCATGACATCCTGTCCAGCAACTACCTGAAAGGAAACAAAGCTAAGAAAATCCAATCAGGCAGACCTTTATATTCCCTTTATCTTCTCTAAAAGGTCACAAATGATGCAAGATCTTAGTGTGCAGCTGTTTGGATACAGTTTCAAGGATGTTTTCACATTGAAACATGTTCTTATGCGCAAGATATGCCTTGTTTTTCCCTTTTTGTTTATACAGATTAAATATGGTTGAGGAGGCTGAAACGGAGCCGTCATGCAGCGAAAACTAATTGACAATAATCTGCATTGTCTGGAAAAACACCAGGGAAAATTTCATTAGTCATGGGGGAGCACTAAAAAAAAAGTCAGGTCGAGGTGAAAAACTTCTGTATTCAACTTGCAAACAATTATGTCAACAAGAGTCATGGCTGACATTTTTTCTGAAGTGCCTTGTCTGACGTCATCATGCAACTAGCTGCACTGTCCACTCAAAATTCATAACATCTCAAACGATGTTTTAAACCGAGAAAAAAAACATTTCATTGAATCGAGGATAATCCAGATTCTAATGCTGAAATTCTTTCATGTTTTTAAGTAGATATGTAGCCTGGTTCCAGAGCCTCTTGGAAGATAATTTTTTATTTCAGAATTTCTTTATGAGTCTTAATTTGAAGAGGAATGTAATCCAAATCTCTCCATTTAAAAAAAATCACTAAAATGGGAAGAAAATACACCCTTACAGATTTATACCCATCAGCTTAAAAAAAACAACAACAACCAAGTACATATATTTATTCTATCTGCACAAAAACAGAACATTCAGTGATTTCAACATCTTAAGAAATTGAGTCAGAAACATTGTGATTATGGGTGTACACTTTTCAATACTTGCAGTGTAAATACAGAGTATTAGTTTTTAGAGAATTTAATCTTTCAACACAATGAAACCATCTGTAGCTTTAAAATGAAAACAATATCTACATAGTTTGAAGTTCCTTTGATTTTATTTCAAAAACTCTTAAAACTCGTATTTTTACTTGCAAATCTTTTGAAAGTCTTGGCACAACAATAACCTTTAATATTCACATTAATCACGATGTTGACAACCAATTTACAACATTATTTGGTGAGTTTTAACTCAATTAAACCTTTACTTTTTTATTCTCATCCCAAAAATATTCTGTAAATGATTGCAGGAAACTTTAACACTACAAATTACATTTGTATCTTGTCATTTATCTAATTATCTCAAAGTTTACTTTAGAACAACCCATATTTCTGTATTATTAGACTACATACATGACAATAAAATAATATAAGAGAATGTTCAGGTAAAACAAGTAGAAAGTAGAAAGAGTCTTAACTTAAACAAGGCTTTAAACTGAGATGTGCCGTTTAAAAACTCATTTTTAAAAAGTTTGAAATCCCTCAGAATCATATTCAGCACTTCAAAGGGACTAGTAATGAGCCTTTTATTGGTTTCAGGTGTGTTTGAGAGGAGATTAATCAAAAATATGCAATACAGTAACTGTATGAAAGGAGTTTGGGACACATTTCTGTACCTTAAAGGAATAGTACACCCAAAACATGATTAGCCTTC